TGAACTTTCATGGTGAAAACAAGTGTTATATGTGGTGACTTATATGTAGGACAATGTGCTAATTTATAGGGTAACATCAGATTACTAATATCCTTAACGTTTGAAAGTAGTGTTCCAAGGTTTCATAATGGAAACAACAATAAAGGTATAGGAGTGGATACTACCATTTTTGTATGATTTGGTAGTTCATATGGTAAAAACATCTAATATTATGTCTAATGTGGTGGTTCCTAACGTTCTTAACGATGGCTATTTCGTGTGAAGTGGTGTTTTAAAGAGAAGAAATAAGTATATTTTGTCTGATATGGTGGATCAGAATGTAAAGCAACTATCATTTTATCAATGATAATTCGTAAGGTGAAACGACCACCACTTTATATGATATGGTTGTCCATAAAGTTATGTATTAGTTTTCAGAAATATTAATAACAAAACTCTGTATATGATACTCACTTATTTTGGAGATGCCAATGGTGTACGTTCCATCTACGATAAAAAAGTTCTATTATAATAAAGCAAATATGAAAATGCGTAGTGTTAAATCATCAATTATAGCTTATTTATCGAGTACAAAATTCTAGATTTCAAAATATAATACTTAGCCTTTGGTCTTTTCTCATCAACCCTTAAATTAATGATAAATATCAGATTTTGTTCCGAAGTAAGATAACTCTGAATAAAATTGAAGTAAAAAGGAACTAACTTATATATAAATGAAGCCAATTCTATATAATAAAGTGACTTGAAGTAGATAATGCCAATAGCGACTAGACTGCAATGATTACTAGTACGATCCCCTTGCCATCAAAGCTGTTTTTAGCTGTAGAGTTAGACAGTATCTTTCCGGAATATTTTATGAAATTATAGTAATAACTGGTGCTCTGTTACTTTCTTCATATTAAGCTAGGAACACATACTTGACCTTAAAAAAAAGAAGAGTTAAAATAGGGCACTCTACTGGAGCAAGAGTTAAAAAAATAATATAGTTACAAACGCAACAAAAAGAAAAAAGTTATCAAAATAAATAAAATGTTACGTACTGTGATATTTACATACAGTTATAGACGTCCACATTGCTAATTATTTAATATTGGGCATTTTTTGAGAGACTGTCCTACTTTGCTGCCACAAAATATAGAAACACGTGCTGTGATATATATATATACATGTGTTTATATAGCCGTGGTTCCATAAAGTTTGTGTGGCATATAGTTATGTTACGGCGAACTGGTCTCCGTATCTCCTAGAAGCCTTATAACACATCACTTTCTTTAGAACTACTGCCATGCCCAGTATTTCCTCTTTGTCTCTCTGTGTACACACACACACACACATATATTTATCATATATACACACTACTATCCCAACTGCTGTAATAAGAAACACTTATAAGCAAAATCTACCAAAACACTAGTACAAACATATTCTTGTAAACTGCCCTTTTAGCCTCTTCATAAGAATGAGTAAGAGGTTCACTTATTTCAAACATATAATGAGCGTACATAAGAATGTGTATGCGTAAATTCGTACCTACTATCGACTTATTAAGATCTATATATAGTCACACATTTTATTACAGATATCTACAAGAAACTTACATCAACATATATTATTATGACGACGTACTTTTTTTTTACATTATTTGGTCACATCTGCAGTTTCCTTGTTTTCTCGGTTTTGTTAGAAGTTTCGAGAGCAAAAGTAGACAATTAGGAAAAAAGACACGATTGTCTATTGTCATCACATAGACAATATTACCATCGATATTTTTGTTACAGTTGAGTATCAGCTTTGATAAAGAAATTATCAGTGATATGCAACCAATAAGACTATAGGTTAACAGTTAGAAAACAAGATACACACACACACACAGTGACATAAAGTATCAGTCACCACAGGTATCATGAAAGCGAATACTTGAAAGCCAACACCAACTGCAATGTGACGAAAAAAATATTTCAGCTGTGCGCTGAAAAGAAAATGTACATGTTCAATGATTCCACTTAGAGTTACTATTCAAGTAGTCAGCTGATATATATGGACTACGTTAACAATGTGCAATGGGAACAACGCGTACATAACATTAACTTCTTTCTAGGCTATTGTTTCACCTATACTACTAGAAAGATTGCACAACAAGTGCTCTAAAAATGCATTTGGTGAAATTGGACCAAACACTTAAGAACATTTTTCAATAAGAACACAAGTTCATGTGGTGTCGAGTATTTATTCAAATTACTCTTTTCTGTATTTTGTATAAAACATCGGTACTGTTGTCAAATGAAATCCAACAACAATAAAACGTTATGTTGATGACGGGAAACAAATGAAATCCAACAACAACAAAACATTATGTTGATGACGGGAAACAAATGAAATCCAACAACAACAAAACGTTATGTTGATGACGGGAAACAAATGAAATCCAACAACAACAAAACATTATGTTGATGACGGGAAACAAATGAAATCCAACAACAACAAAACGTTATGTTGATGACGGGAAACAAATGAAATCCAACAACAA